GGTGGTTGGAGAGGCTCTCGTTGACGAAGACGTGGAGCAGGGCCGTGGTGGACTGCGGCGGCTGCCCGCTGTCGTTGACCTGCACCACGAGGCGGTGCAGGCCGTAGTGCTTGGGGGCCAGCTTGCCCACCAGCGACACCACGCCGCTGGCCGGGTCGATCTCGAAGAGGCGGAAGGGGTTGCCGCCCACGATGCTGTAGTTGAGGTCGGCGTTGAGGCCGGTGTCGGCGTCCGTGGCCACCACGGTGGCCACCACGGTGCGCAGGTTGCTGGAGGGCGGCAGCACGGTGTAGGAGCTGTTGCTGGGGAAGGTGACGGCGGGCGCGTTGTCGTTCTCGTCCATGACGAAGAGGGACACGGTGGCGGTGGCCGAGCGTGGCGGCTCGCCGCCGTCCACCGCCTTCACCCGGAAGGTGTAGCTCGTCTGCTGCTCCCGGTCGAAGGAGACGGTGGAGTAGATGGTGCCCGTGTCGTTCTCAATGGAGAAGATGCCGGCGGCCTGGTCGTGCTCGCCGGGCTGGATGGAGAGGCTGAGCTCGGCGTTGCGGCCCTTGTCGAGGTCCATGACGGTGACCATGCCCACGGGGCTGTTGGGCTGCAGGTTCTCCTTCACGTAGAAGGTGAAGACGTCCTGCATGAAGCGCGGCTCGTTGTCGTTGCGGTCCGCCACGCGCACCACCACGGTGGCAGAGCCCTGCAGCGGCGGCCCCCCCTTGTCGCGCGCCGTCACCTGGAACTCGTAGGTGTCGCGCTGCTCGCGGTCCAGCACCGCCTGCACCGACACGTCGCCCGAGTCCGGGTCGATGGTGAAGAGGCCGCCCGGCGCCTCGGCCGAGAGGGACGACGGCTCCAGCGAGTAGGTGATCTCGGCGTTCTTGCCGCTGTCCGCGTCCGTGGCCACCACGGTGGCCACGCGCTCGCCAGGCAAGTTGTTCTCCGGGAAGGAGACCTCCAGCACGGCCTGGCTGAACACCGGCGGGTTGTCGTTGGTGTCCGCGACCCGCACCAGCAGGGAGTTGTTGCTGGACAGGCTGGGGCTGCCCGAGTCCACGGCCACGATGACCACGTTGTAGTCGCGGACGGCCTCGTAGTCCAGGGGCGCCGAGGTGTGCAGGAAGTACTTGCGCTTGTTCTGCGGCTCCCCCTCGCCCTCGCTGGCCGGCTTGAGCTGGAAGGGCACGTCGCCCACCACGGTGCAGGTCACCACGCCATTCTCGCCCTGGTCGCGGTCCGAGACCTGCACGAGCGCGATGGGGGTGTCCACCAGCACGTCCTCGGCCACGCTGGCCACGCCGTCCCGCAGCGGGATGCGCCCGATCTTACGGATGTCGATGGTGGGCACGTTGTCGTTCTCGTCGCGGATGTTCAGCACCACCGTGGCCTTGTCCGTCTTGGGGGGCTGTCCCCGGTCGCGGGCCATGACGGTGAAGCGCAGCTGGTTCACCTCTTCGCGGTCGATGCGGTGCAGGACGCTGAGCCAGCCCGAGGTCTCGTCGAGGCGCAGCAGGCGCCGCACGGACTCGGTGGCCGCGCCGAACACGTACTCGATCTGCCCGTTCACCCCCACGTCCAGGTCGGCGGCCCGCAGCTGCAGGATGGGCGTCCCGGGGCTGCTGTTCTCCGCCAGGTCGGCCTCGTA